GTTTAGGCAGAAGTTTATTAAACCCTAACTTGCATATATCATCCAAAAATCATCACAACAACTTGCATATCTTGTAATCATGCCAAAACAGGAGCTAACTATCATCTTAAACCAAAATTTAAATGGACAACAACCATGATCAGATTTTATACCTCAAAACAAAGCTTGGAAGAGTGATACTCCACCTCCTTTGGAAATTTTTGTTTGCCCTAGCTTCTTAAGACCACAACTAGTACTTTAATCGGTTTGGAAGTTGATTTTCCCACTTGGATAGCTAAGATCAAGAAGAAGGAAATTGTTTTCTTGCTCTGACTTTCTCTCTCTCTTTGGTCGGCCAAGGAGCTGAAATAATGAAGAGGAAAGGTGCAAAAATTGGTTAAGAAGGATGGTAACTCTCTTGGCCAAGAAACTCTAGGGTGGCGACAAGTGTCGCCACCACCACCTTTCATTTTTTTCTCTTTCTTTCTTGCTATTTCTAGCCTCTAATTTCGGTCAAGATAGCTGGAAATTGAGAAGATATTTTGCTCAAATATCAATAAACTTGTATGGTAAGAAAGTGGTGGTCAAGTGGTGCGTTCAATCGGTAGTACGCGGGACCCGCCGGTTCGCGCCGTTTTTCTTAAAAACACACGTACTAGGGTTTTTACTTCCTATTCACCAACCTTATATCATTGCTCCTAATCACATATTATTTCTCACTTAAAGGTCACTTTTAATCACCAAATTTGATCCTTGCTCCATACCGAAAATTCATCCAGCGAAAAAATCGCGAAAACCCTAATTTGCCCCAATCTTGGAAACGAAGAGTGAAACCCTACTTTTTAGGTTCATCTACACTTATTGTTAAACAATTGGGTAGCAGGGCTTTAATAAATAATAATTTTCAAATAAAAGGCATTTTTTTGAAAAAAATATAAGAAATTTGCGGGTTCTCACAAATCTCCTTAAAACTGCACCATTACTAGCTAGTGTTGTTATTAATTTGATAGTGCTATTCTTGTCCTTGTCTCTTGGCTGCATTAAATAAGCTTGTTAATCAATTATCACTTGTATTGAACGAAAAGCTCTTATTCAGTTGAGAGAAAGCTTAATAAATAAATTAAATCGTCAGTCACTGTAGATTCTTGCTCATGATTCATGAAAAGAGTTGGTTGTGATAGAAACGGGAGAGAGACAGAAACAATCGTCAGTAGAATTATTTCTGAACAGTGTAAAAGTGATTGAACAGATTGTAACTCACTATTAGTTACTTGTAAACTCTTAAAATATAGATGTTATATTTAACCACTGTTTATGTGGACTCATACAAGATGAGTCAGAGTTATGTGTCTTACAATTTGAATTTTTGCCCTTTTGGCAAAATTTGAGTCAGGAGCATTCTGGAATGAGTGTAACTGACAATTGTCTGTGCTCTTAGTCTAACAAAAATATTTTCCTTGTCATAAAGCAAATTACAAAAGTCACTTATAGTATATTCCTCACAAGAATAAACTAAATGCCATCTGTTAGTGAACTACAAGAATAGCAATTGAATCAATTACCTTGACTGATTCTTGGACTGCTTATTACAACAAACTTGCAATTATTCCTTGCCAAACAATGGCATTATGTAATATGAAGCAGTCAACTACTTTATGCTACTCTTAAGGGATTTAGATTTTCTGTAGTCATAGTGGAGATTGTAGAGTACACTTAAAGGTGGCTGATGAGTTGGTTTGAAATTAGAAGAATAGATTGAATGAATGATACATGTTTTAAATGAGTGATGATTTTTCTTATGTTTTCGGTGGTTTGTCATCGTGCATTTTCCTCGTCACAATTGCGGGTCGTGCCTTCGCGAAAGAAGCCCAACAGAGCTTACTAGCTACTTAGCCACTGAATCAGACAAACCCATATATGTACCCAAAAATTCCCATGGAGCATTTCTTTAGCATGAATCCACTAATGTTTCTAGCTAATTACTTTTCTGTTCATCAGCCAAATTCGATTAGGTGAGATGCTTACTCGAAGTTTAATAAAAACCGAACAATAGTAGGAACAAAAGTTTTCATAATGACGACAACTCCTTTTCCTTTTTCTTTTTTTCTTTTCTCGGGGTTTTGGTATTTAATTGTTTTTTTTAATAAAAAGTTTGGGTGGATTTGATTCCGGTTACCACCATAGGTCAAGGCATGCCCTGGACCAAAACTCGCTTATAAGGATTCTTGGAGATCACTCAACTACATAGTTCTCATATCGACAGCAAAATTTGAACATACAACCTCTTGTGAGATAATGGTCCATTCTTACTAACATGAACCAATTTATATTGACGGGTTTAACTATATGTTACTTGCGTTACTACATTGGAATTATACTATAGTGATTTATCATTTTATTTGAGGGGACAAGAGCATTTTTTATTAGGGGAATATTATAATGGAATAAATAGTGCAATTCTCATCTATTCAGTCTTTTTCTGGGACATGCTTATACTTGTCATTGTAGATGTTAGAATTGAGATATTAAAAAAATGTTGTATTTCCACTTTCTCAATTGATAATTGTTCCCTAATTATCTAATTAATAAGACCACAAACTGAGGTGTGATTGTAATCTAGAAACTAAATCATATACCATATAAGCGAAATATGAAATTATTTTTTAAAGTGGTAAGTGAAGAATTACTGTCGATCATCTTCAAAAAAAAAACTTGTTTGTCTAAGCGTATAATTACTGTTTAGTCATGCATGTAGTTGTGACTAATATGACTTTTGATTTTTTTTTTCCAAAAAAACTAATTCCGTCCCTCATGTCTAAAGCTGCAAAATATATGAATTTATCAAAACTAATCCATTTACAAGTTAAAAAAAAAGAAAGATAAGCAATGGAAAACTTGTGCAGATGCTTTAGAAATTTTTAAATTCTTTTTCCTCCACAATACAAATTTTCAATTCTTTGGTATTATACCATTTTTATTTTTTAATTTTAAAATCATATGACTTTGTGTTTTTTCTAATAAAATGTTTCATATTCAGATTAAAAGTACAACATTATTCTAGAACTATTATGTAACAGTATTAATGTCATTTTGTTAAAATTTGGATGAAAATTCATCATTAATGTTTGACTTAGGGTCTGTTTGATAACATAAAATGGTGCTAAATCTGAACTTTTTCAGACATTTAGATGTTTTGAATGTTTGATAAATGAAAATCCATTTGCTGAATTTGTTAAGTAGTGCTGAACTTGTGTGTATTTTTTTCAGCATAAGAATCCTAACTGAATGCTTAATTCTGATAAGAATCAATAGAATTACTTCAATTACCTTATCTTATCTACCAAATCTACCATTGTTTATTAATTGTATTCAAAATTCTTATCTAATTAAACAATCTGATATTTTCTATCTAACGGTTTTCGATTTACCTTTTCTCCCCTTTTAATGACTTTCACTTCTTCTCCATATTCCTTATAAAATATATTTCATCTTTTATATTAATTTGATTTAAAAATAAATATTGTCATTTTCATACTTAACAATTTTAAATTAATTAAATCATAGGTTCTATTTCTTTTTTGAATGAAAAAATATAAGGGCAAAATTGTCAATTTAAACTTATTAAGCATTCAGTTATAAATATTTATCAAACAGTATAAATAGGTTTAGTATAAAAATTTAGACATTCATATATATCTTTTTAGTGCTTAAAATTCAGTAAATTAATTTTTTCAGTATTCAGATTTCAAAATTCAGATTTAGTTTTATCAAATGGAACCTTAGTCAATGAAGTGGGCAAAGTGCATATATTTAAAGTTTAGGGGGCAAAGTGTTATAAGGGATCAAATTCAAGGGGGCAAACTGTAATTAATCCTTATTGAAAACTTTCAAAATTAGCTACATTATGTGGTCTAACTAACAAGCTGTAAAGGAACAATAGTCATCCCATTAACCGAATGCAATATTATAAGCGCACATGTTTGCTTTCTTCTCCATGATCGCAAGACTTCTTTATGCATTTATTTTATCTTTTTGACAACTAATGGGAACACCAAGTAGGAATCTTGAATTGACAGAAAAATTTTGTCATAGATTTTCTTTTTCAAAATCTTTCATGTATACATATATAGGTGTGTGTATCATACAAACAAATACTTTAGATAAATCAATCTAATTCAATAAAATAATTTCAATGCCTTAACAAAGTTACAACCAGAAAATAATCGCAAACTATTATGCGTGCAACTATTTAGGCCTCGATGGACAACATCAAAATTCTTGTATTTAGGTCGTTTTCAGTTCTTGACTATTCCAAATATCACAAGATTCCCTCCCCCACAACAAAAAAAAAAAGACATCTCTTTTGTTGGAAATTAGTTTGTAGTATGAAAATTGATCGTGACTTGTGACATGATTTTTTTTATCATGTCTAGAAGTTTGATTCATGAATTTCCAACAAGGTTCATTGGTATATTGATGTATCTTCTCAAGTTCATTTGTTCATTTATGGAACTACTCAATTCATGTATTTGAAGTCCTAAATTCATGAATGGACATTAAGTGAAGATACATTGATGTATCTTCTCAAGTTCATTAGTTCATGTATTTGTTGTACTATATTCATAAATGGACATTAAGTAAAGTTCATGTACTTTTGCTCTTGGATTGCCTATAAATGGAGGTAGTCTAAACCTCTCTTGTGCAACTTGTACTTAGGCTACCTTAGATTTGCAAAACCAACTTCTCGCTTCTCTTTTTTATGAAAATTAAGATTAAACTTGTTATAGCTAGTTTTCATTTCCATTGTATTTTAAAAGTAATTTGTCATCTCAACCCAGTTAGCAAGATAGTGGGGGCAAATCACACCTCAAGAAGAGTGATCACACGCCTTGGAAACTCTCTTGAATTCCCCAAAAAATTAGTTTAGTCTTGATATTATTCTTGTAATAGTTTTATGGTAGGTTCTATACACTTGTAATCCCCATTTCTCCAACAATCTTAAGGTGTGATTTAAGATTGGTATGGAGTCTACTCAAGAATCTGTTATCAAGGTGATGAATCAAGACTTTGTCAAGTTGGATCGCTTGGATGGAACCAGAACCAATTTTAGTAGGTGGAAGGATAAGATGATCTTCTTCTCGACAGTCATGAAGGTGGCATGCGTGCTGAACTCGGATCTTTCAGAAATTATTCCTCCAATAGATAACGATTCAGAGGATTTGAAAAAACAAAAGGAAAAACATGAAGAAGATGAAGTGGTGTGTAGAGGTTACATTCTCAATACTTTGTCAGATAGTCTCTATGATTTATTCGCAACCGTCAAGTCACCAAAGGAGATTTGGACTACCTTTGAGCATCAACATGTCAACCAAAAGCAAGGCTCAGATAAGTTTCTTATCAAAAAATACTTTGACTTCAAATTTATAAACAATTCTCCACTTCTTGATCAAATTCACAATTTGCAAGTGATTGTTTCAAAACTCAAAGATTTAAATGTTGAAATTTTAGAAGCATTTCAAGTGGGGGCTATTATTGTCAAGTTGCCTCCTAGTTGGAATGACTATCAAAAGAAATTGCTCCATACTTCTGAAATTTTGACTTTAGATGGTGTTTTGAAACATCTAAATATTGAAGAAGATGCTAGAAATCTTCAAAAGAAAGATGTGAATGGTGAATCTAAAGTGAAAGTGGAGGATGACTCTAAGGTGAATTTTGTGAACGAAAGAAAGTGTTCCAATTTCAAAAGGAAGAAATATGATAATACTAATTCTAAGGACAATAAGAAGAAGATAGAAATTGATATAATTGTGGCAAGAAAGGCCATTACAAATTTGAATGCAGATATGACAAGAAACAAAAGACTTGTGGTGTTTCAAATGCAAATCTTGTTGACAAAATTTCAGAAATCGTTGCTATGATGTCATTTGGTATGGTGACTGAAGTGAACATGATCACACCTAATTCTTCCAAGAATTGGTGGTATGATTCTCGTGCAGCCATTCATGTGTGCAATGACAAGAGTCAATTCAAGAATTATGAAATTTTTGAAAGATGGCAAATGGTGTAAGAGCTAAAGTGCATAGCAAAAGTTGTGTGAATGTTCAATTTACTTTCAGCATGAAATTAGTCCTCACTAATATACTTCAAGTTTTGGATACTGTAAAAAATCTTGTTTCTGCTAATATTCTAAACAAGAAAAGGTTGAAAGTTGTACTAGAAACCAATAAAGTGATATTATCTAAGAATGGTGTCTTTGTTGGAAAAGGCTACTCTTATAATGGCATTTTTAAATTAAGTATCAATAAGATTGATGATATTTTTCTTTACTTTGTTGATTCCTCTTATTCTTTGTGGTATGGTAGATTAGGACATGTTAATCATAAAGTGCTACAACATATGTCAAAAAATGGTCCAATTACATTTAGTAACATGTGAAAAAGAAGTGTGAAACATTTGTTCAATCCAAAATAATGAGATTGCTTTTTCCTAGAGTTGAAAGAAACTCACAATTGCTTGATCTTGTGCATTTGAATGTTTGTGAGTTGAATGAAATTTTAACAAGAGGTGGTAATAGGTACTTCATCATTTTCATTGATGATTACTCTAGATATGTACATGTATATTTGATGAAAACAAAAGATGAAGTCTTTTATATGTTTAAAACATATACGTCTCTTGTTGAAAATCAATTAAGTAGAAAATCAAAATATTGAGAAGTGATAGAGGTGGTGAATATTTTCCTATTGAATTCTCAACTTTTTGTGAAAATAATGGTATTGTACACCAAACAAGTGCTCCTTATACTTCACAATAAAATGGTTTGCCTGAAAGGAAAAATAGAACTTTAAAAGATATGGTAAATGCCATGATTTTAAGTTCTGGTCTATCAAAAAATTTGTGGGGTGAAATTTTATTGACTACGTGTCATGTGCATAATCGCATTCTCTCCTTGAAAACTAAAGTGTCTCCATATAAATTGTGGAATGGAAGAAAATCAAATTTGAATTATCTAAAAGTTTGGGAATGTATAGCTTATTATAAAGTCCTGGGAAATAAAAGAATAAAATTGGGACCTAGAGCACTTAAAAGTGTGTTCGTTGGCTATAGCTGAAAATTCTAAAGCATATAGGCTACTTGATCTTGACTCTAATTTGATTGTGGAATCAAGTGATGTTGAATTTTTTGAGAATAAGTTTCTCAATAATTCAAAAGTTGAAAATGATCCACAAAGTGAACCAAGTTCTTCTAATAATGGTGACCCTTCTAATGGTACAAAAAGGAAGGAAATTGACACTCCTTTTGAATCAAGAAGGAATCAAAGACAAAGAAAAGAAAAGAGTCTATCTTTTGATTTTATTCCTTCACAAGCTATTGTCTTTCTTGTTGAAAGCAATTGAGATTCTCTACTAAATAAAACTCCAATTTTATTTAGCATAGAGGATGGTTCTAAAACATTTAGTGAAATTATGAAATCTAGAGATTCAACATTTTGAAAAGAAATGGTAAATGATGAAATGGATTCATTGTTATCTAACGGTACTTGGCTTTTAGTTGATTTATCACATGGTTCTAAACTTATTAGTTGTAAGTGAATATTTTCAAAGAAATATTCCACGGATGGATTCATACTAACCTATAAAGTTAGGTTGGTGGACAAAACTTTTAGACAAAAGGAAGGCATTGATTATTTCGACACATATGCACCAGTTGCTAGAATTGCATCCATTAGACTACTTTTGACTCTAGTTTCAATCTACAACCTTTGTGTAATGGATGTCAAGACAGCCTTTCTAAATGGTGATTTAGATGAAGAGGTGTATATGGAACAACCAGGAGGTCTTTGTGCTACCCGAAAATGAGAATAGGGTGTGTAAACGTGTAAAATTATTATATGGATTGAAACAAACACCGAAACAATGGTATGACAAGTTTGAATCTATTTTACTTTCACATGAATTTAGGTCAAATAATGCTAACAAGTGCATTTATTCTAAATTCAATGACAAGAATAGAGTGATCATTTGTTTCTATGTAAACGACATGCTAATTGTTGGTACTAACTACCAAGCTGTAGTAGATACTAAGAAATATCTTTCTAGCAATTTCAAAAATGAAAAATCTTGGAGAGGTGAATACTATCTTAGGGATTAAAATTAAGAGACATAGTGGGGGATTTGCACTTTTGAAATCACATTATGTTGATAAAATTCTAAAAAAGTATCAACATTTGAATATGAAAGAGGCTAGTACTCCCTTTGATCCTAATTTCAAATTATATGAGAATGCTGGTAATCCAATTGCTCAGTTAAAATATGCAATTGTAATTGGAAGTTTAATGCAATGAGTTGCACAAGACCAGATATTTCTTATTCAGTGTGTAGATTAGCTAGGTATACCAAGAATCCTAGTAAAGATCATTGAAAAGCAGTGACTAGAATCCTTGGTTATGTTAAAAGAACCAAAGATTTAGGTCTATTCTACAATAATTTTTCAAATGTTCTTGAGGGGTAAACAAATGCTAGTTGGGTAACTAGTACTGGTGATCAAAATCATACTAGTGGATGGATCTTTATGCTGGGTGGTGGAGCTGTTTCTTGGGTTTCAAAGAAACAAACTGTGATTACTCATTCTACCATGCAAGCTGAATTCATAACTTTAGTTTCTGCATGCAGAGAAGCGCAGTAGCTTAGAGATTTATTATTTGATATAAATCTATAACCTTGTCCTATGCCTGCAATTGTATTGTTTTGCGATAGTGAGAACACTATGTCTAGAGTATTGAACAAAGTGTACAATGGTAAATCTAAACATATAAGTCTGAGGCATACCTATATTAGACAAATGTTGAATAATGATGTTGTCACAGATGTATTTGTAAGAATTTATAATAATTTAGTGGATCCGTTGACTAAAGCTCTTGCGAGAGACTTGGTGAATTCGACGTCGGGAATGGGATTAAAACCCTTTGTCTAGAATCACTAGCAATGGTAACCCAACCTTCTTCTAGTACTACCCCTAGTTTGAAAGGTTTAAAAAGTAAAAACGAGTTACTAATAAGTGATTGTGAGTGCTACAAATTTTTGTGTATACCATTCCAAGTGGTAGTACATTATATTACTCTTAATTGAGCAAGTTGAGAAGTATTCTCTTAATAAACATATTTCTTAGTGCTTTATTTGTTAACGTTAGAAATATAGGGCCTATTTGGAACCTGAGTTTTTTGGGAGTTTGTCTAAAACTTTACTGTAGATCACTGTAAAAGTAGTAGAAAAAACTTTACTGTAGCGATTTTTTAAATTTTTTAACAAAATTTTTTTTAGGTGTTAAATATTAACTTCCCTCCCTAATTTTTTTTCCCTTTATCCAAAAATTGTGCTCTATATTACTGTATCAAAATTAGGATTACATTTTTGTCAACCCGGAAGCCAAGTTGCTTTTCACCCAGAAGCCAACTTCGCCTTTTTCACTTCATTTGGTCATCTTTGCCTCCATGTCCAATATCTACAAATGAAAAATAACAAAATAACTCAAACAAATAATATAAACGTATAATCACACCAAAATGATATAAAATACCAAAACATTGTAAAGAGTATAATAAAATGTACTTAAATTAACTAATAAAATGTACTTAAAAATACGTAAAATAAACCCTTATCAGTATCCGTTAACCCAACATTGACCAGAAGGCTTAAATTTTACAGTACCAAATATTCATCCCAAATATTCAAAAAAAAAAGTGTCATATTATACAATTGAGAGCAAGTTCGGGCCCGTGGAAATCAAGCGTGACAACCATATACTACTCATTTCGGTGAAGGTACATGTGATCAGCCATTGCATTTCGTAATTCCTTCCAATCATGGAGTGCTTCTGGAGTGACGTGTAATTGTGGCATTTGAGCTCCCTCGGTACCTCCGCCTTCCATATTAACTTCATCCGGTAAGTAGACGTCGTATGGCTGCATCTCTCTAATGAAATTGTGTAATACGCAGCACGCCACTACAATGTTCCTCTGTGCCTCAATGGGATAGTTTTTCATAGGACCATCCAGAATTTTGAACCTCATTTTTCATACCCCAAACGTCCTCTCTATTATATTCCGAACCGAAGAATGGCGGCGATTAAATAATTCTTTCTGTGCCGTCTGTGATCTTCCTCCTGGTCCACTCTTAAAAGGGGCCATGAATCCTGGCATGTGTGTGAGAACCCTGAAAATATATATAAGTCAGTGCATATTTCATTTGCATTTCTTTTATTTCTTAATAATTTTTAGCATTACTTTTACTCGTTTGCAATTAAGTACGTAAAAACAGGTTTATGTGAAAAATAATATAATTTACCTAAGTTATGAAATTTCTTGGTTTTGCTAGACTAAATTAATATCTTTAGAGTTAGATTAATTTTTTTTCGCCTTAACATAAAATGTTAGAATACTTAAATTCCTTTATGCAAAATTAATGATACTTGAGCCGATTAATCTTATTACCTTAAAATAAATTACTTGAAACTCAATGTTTAATTCCAATTAGTTGCTAGCTTATATGTTAAAAGGAAATTTCTCACGGTAAGACGAAATCAATGAATTTTAGATAAATATAATACAAGTATGCTAAACATACTTAAGGCATGAAGTTACGATAATTAAAGTCTTGCATGACTAGTGTATAATTAGGCGTTCAAATCACACTTGGGGATAATTTTTGGAATTAAGTTAGAATTGAGAATTTAAGTAGAGGTTAGGAAGAAAAGTGAAAAGACTAAAATGCCCCCATACAACCCCAACATTTCCATGCAAAACCAAACAATCTCTCTGACAGCATCCTAAGCACCGCACCATTCGGCCAATAGAAATTTTTTTACCATCTCAACACTCAACCTCCCTTCTCAAAACAGCGGCACCATCCCTCTTCCTCTT